TATTTTAAGAAATATTATAATTTCATTCAATTGAATCAGTAGTTAATTTAATGCTGACATTGTATTTTAAATTCATTTTTTACTCACTTGATACTGCCTATAATGTCACATAACTTCTTACATTTAACAACAGCGGAAATATTCTCCGAGTAAAACAAACCAACATATAAATTATTTATGAATTAAAAATAATTTTACAGTTACCAAATAAGAACCATTATATTTAATTCAAAAATAAGAAGTATTACCAACTGTGTTAACACTAAACCTGCCAAATTGGTCAAAATGTCTCGTCCTCGATTTGTTCTTTTACAATTATAGACAGAATAACAAATGATTTAATCAGAAATCTTAAAAAAATCCTTTTCGTAATACGCGAATTAAATTATAGTAATAATTAATTATATAATCAATCGAAATCTCAATAAACGCGCTCTTAGAGTTTCTAGGAAAAAAATCAGAAAAGCTCGGCTGCTCGATAGTACTAACGTTAAATAATAAATCGCATAAAGTATAATCTGTATATTACGGACATTCCAGCCGATCAATCATCTTACTTCGAAAACGCGTGCTCCGAAAACGAGCGGTGCAAAAATAATATTTGAACGCTGATCCCCGACACGTTCACGCGACGCACGACTCCGAACGGGAACAGCATCGTCCGCAAACACGGGACGGGACCCTATATAATTTTTACCGGTGGCGACAGCGATTTCGATCACCGCGCGATAAATGAAACCGTACCGACAATAAAACAATTGGAACGGCGACAAACGATGGACCATTTGCGGCTAGTAGAGCGTATTTTTTCCCTCGGCGTAGCGAGTACTCGCAGGCACACCGCACGCGGAACATTCGAAAATTCTGTCGCGTGTGACAAAAGCCAGTGTGTGCCAGGGTGCGAAAAGATAGAAAGATAGTCCGTCGGCGATTTGTTCGACGCGTGTATGTACAGAGATGTATACTTCATCGACGCGCCGGTGCACCCTGGCTCGACATCGATTGCGCGCCGCCCAAAACATCGGTGACCAAAATGGCGGCGCAGGTCGGCTCCGGGACAGACACGTGTTCCGGAACGTGGCGACTCGGACGGGAATTAATGCTATGCCAAACGACCCTCGTAAACGTAAAAGGCCGCGCCGCGCCGTTAAAATTATATGATAGCGGACCGCCATATATACGGTCCACACACCTATCTCAAGTGTATTATAAATGTGATGCATGCCGCTCGCAAAACAACCAACCTGTATTATTTACGGGGTACTCGACTGAACGCACTGAAAATAAGGTGGCATTAAAAGCACGGCACCCTGGGAGGATGTAGGAGGTGGGATGAAAGCGAGGCGGGAATAATCCCATAATGTGTAACCCGCTGAAAATTACCATTTAAAGTCCGCGTAACCGTGGTTGCGTATCGCGTGAACGATGGCCGCGCAGCTCTTGATTAACTGTGCCGAAGGCCTCTAGTTCGGGAATAATTCTATGCACTCTTTCGGCTTTGTTTTTATCGCGAATCTACCCGGTG